CCAACCTCCTCTTTATCCCTTTTCCAGCAGCAGAAAGTCCAAATCCCCTCCCAAAGTGCCGATCGTGATTCAGGACGACAGCCTCCCCGCAGGGCCTCCCCCCCAGATCCGCATCCTCAAGAGGCCGACCACCAACGGCGTGCTCAGCAACCCCAACTCCGCCAGCAGGCCGGCATTCCCGGTGAAGTCCTTGGCGCAGCGGGAAGCGGAGTACGCGGAAGCCAGGAAGCGAATACTGGGCAGCGCCAGCCCCGAAGAAGAGCAGGAGAAACCCATCCTGGATAGGTGAGAGCAGCTCCCTGGACAGAAGCTCCTTGGAGAGCAAAGTGAGGCCATCAGGGAGAAGGTGTTGCTTTGGGAGCAAGCAGGGAGGCCTGAACCTCAAATAGATGGGACTGCAGGGAAGTGCCTGATGTGGCTGTTCAGGTGATCTTTGATCCCTGGAAGAGCATGCCTGGGGGGAAAGAGAGGTGTGTGGGCAACCAGGGTTCGTGGAGCCCAGCCTGGTTTGGGTTAAGGGACCTTAAAGCTCCTCCAGCTCCAACCCCTGCCACAGGCAGGGACCCCTTCCACTGGAGCAGCTTGCTCCAAGCCCCTGTGTCCAACCTGGCCTTGAGCACTGCCAGGGATGGGGCAGCCACAGCTTCTCTGGGCACCCTGTGCCAGCGCCTCAGCACCCTCACAGGGAAGAGCTTCTGCCTAAGAGCTCAGCTCAGTCTCCCCTCGGGCAGGTTCAAGCCATTCCCCTTGGCCTGTCCCTACAGGCCCTTGTCCCAAGCCCCTCTCCAGCTTTCCTGCAGCCCCTTTAGGCACTGGAGCTGCTCTCAGGTCTCCCCTTCAGGAGCCTTCTCTTCTCCAGGCTGCCCCAGCCCAGCTCTCTCAGCCTGGCTCCAGAGCAGAGCTGCTCCAGCCCTCGCAGCATCTCCATGGCCTCCTCTGGCCTCGCTCCAGCAGCTCCAGGTCCCTCTTGTGCTGCTGCCCCAGAGCTGGATCAGGGCTGCAGGGGGGGTCTCCCCAGAGCACAGCAGAGGGGCAGGATCCCCTCCCTGAGCTGCTGCTCACGCTCTGGGGGTGCAGCCCAGCACACGGGGGGGCTCTTCCTGGGTTATCCCAGCAGGACATTTCTTCATCTGCCCTGAGGGTTTAGACTTGAGGAAACCACCACACGCAGAAGGGAGGGTGTGAATGCTCTTTACTGCGCACAGGTCACTTGGACGCATTGTGCTGAGTTCTTTGGATACAAACCTAGGTGCTGGTCTGGGTTGGGTCACATTCCTGGTCCCAGGGAGTGATGTGCACTGATTGTTCCGTGGTGGTGGCTCCTCACTGAGGCGGGTGCAGGATCACAGCATCCCAGGCTGGAAGGGACCTCAGGGATCACCAGATCCAACTCCTCCTCTGACCTCCTCTCTCCTTGCAGGCCCCCCAGGATCTCCCAGCCAGAAGACACCAGGCAGCCCAACAATGTGATCAGGCAACCCCTGGGTCCCGACGGCTCCCAAGGCTTCAAGCAGCGCAGATAGAGGCGGGCAGGAGGGAGATGCTGCTGCGGGAGGCAGCGCCCGCTGCCCTGCATCGGACTTGAGCAAAGGGAACTCCCCGGGTTCTTTGCACTGTGATCCCCTTTGCTCTGCCCACTGTGACCTTCACCCCACGCACTGTGACCTCCCCTCGCCACCCACTGTGACCCACAGACGGCGAAGGGCTGTCCCCGCATGGCCGGGACGACAAGGGGGGGGGTTAAAGGACTCGGATGGGTGCAGGGAGCCGCGGGCACGGTGCTTGGGTTGCAGCTAGCGCCAGCAATAACGTTTGTCGTCCTCGTCACCCGGGATTTAAGGAAGCAGAACCCCTGGGAATGCTCCCCAGATGCACGTGTTGTCCTCCTCGCCTTAGGAGCGAGTTCTGGTTCAAAGGATCTCTATCTCATGTCCTCTTTGCTGTCTGTATGGCGGAGCACATGGGATGGGTTTGAGCTCTTGGGGCTCGTTGTGAGAGGGAGTTAAGCTTCCAACAAGGAATTTCAATGAATTGCTGCAGCTTTTCCCAGCTCGCCTTTGGCAGCTGCTTGCTTCTCCTTCTCCATTTCCACTTCTGCCAAGCACAGGGGGTGCAGACTCCAGGTTCCCCCCTTTGGGAGCCGTCGGAGCCCGATGACCGTGTTTACATCCTGCTCCTGGTAGAGCTTGGCTGGTGTTTTCTGCTGGCTTTGAGGAAAAGCTTCAAATCATCTTTTTTGGTTGTTTTTTGGCTTTCTTTTTGTATCTAGGGAGCGTGCCCCCACCCCAGGAAAACGCTTCCCACGTGGCTGAGAGCACCAGGAGGTGAAGGATTAGGAATCCATTGCACGGAGAAGGAGGTGCTGCTCTGGTCCGTGGAATGAGGCTTGTGTGGCCAGGGAATGGGGTTTGCCATGGCGCTGGCTCCGAGTGTCACGGATGGCCACAGTACGAGCTGCGTTTCCCTCCTGGAATCACAGGCATCAGGGAAGAAACCCAGCGCTGGATAAAGTCTGGATGATTCCCACTATCGTACTGGGAAGTGATACCCCTCCTCCAGCTCCCGGGAGGAGGACAGGGAGGCTGGTGATGGTGAAAACGTGGATATTCCCCCTTGGATGAAGCTGACCGACCTTAATATTGAGGGATGAGATGAACACTAAACCCTCATCCTGGAGGGGATGGGACCTGGAAAACCATTGCTGGTTCTGGGCACATGATTGTGCCGCTTTGTGCTCAGTAGGTTCAGGGGTAACGGAGTGAATCCTGGTGTCCTCCACGCGCAGGGAAGTGCCTGGACACCCACAGACGTGTTCACCCCAACCCCAAACGGTCAAATAAACCTACCTGTGTCTCAGCGACCCCATTAGAGCATTCATGGGCTCAGTCAAGCACTGAGGATGGTGGCGAGGGGTTGGCGGGCAGGGATCCCCTGGGTATCCCCATGTTTTTTGGGGGGTCCTAATGTTTATCCCCTCCCAATGTCAGGCTGAGACCCTGGGGGGAGCGGGAGAGGGGAAAGACATCAGCAATAACCGCAGTCACCGCGCCTTTCCTTAATGATTACCCAAAATAGCTTTGACTAGCCCCAAATCCGGTGGGGTTTGGTGTAGCTGATCGGTGTTAAACTCGCTGCCTCCGAAACGTCCCATCTCCAGCACTGAACCCCCCCGCTCTCCAAGCTCCATCACTGGAATCTCCGTTTCCAGCACCCAGACCTCCCATCTCGGCACTGAAATCTGCATCTCCAGCACCAAAACCTCCTTTCCCAGCACCGATCTCTCCCGGCTCCTCCATCCCAGTGACCAGGAGCCGGCCGGCCCGCGGGCAGGGCTCGGCGGCGATCCTGTGGGAAGCCCCTTCATCCCGGGAATGCTGAGGATGACCACGGTACCACGTGTGTTTTCACCCCCTCCCCCCCAAAACCAACCCGTGCGCCGTGAAGAAAACGTTTTATAAAGTTGTATTTTAAATAAATGTCTTTAAACTTTTAACGACAAAACCCGTTTGGTTCTGCTTTATCCACCCCTATCCCAAAGGGACTGCTGCAGGAGGGGGGGGTTGCTGATGGATGAGCCCCCAGTGTGAGCAGAGCCTTAAACATCCTTTGGGAAGGTAAAAAACGAGGCGGTTTTTGGCCATTGTGCTGGTATGAGGCCGAAAAGGTGGTGTCCTTCAGGGATGGGTGTTGGGACCGGGCTTGTTTAACATCTTTGTCGCTGACATGGACAGTGGGATTGAGTGCACCCGCAGCAGGTTTGCCGATGGCACCAAGCTGTGTGGTTCGGTTGATCCGCTGGAGGGAAGGAATGCCATCCAGAGGGACCTGGACACGCTTGTGAGGTGGGCTGATGCCAACCTCATGGGGTTCAACCATGCCAAGTGCAAGGTCCTACACCTGGGTCACAGCAATCCCAGGCACAGCTACAGGCTGGGCAGAGAAGAGATTCAGAGCAGCCCAAGGAGAAGGACTTGGGGGTGCTGGTTGATGAGAAAATGAACATGAGCCGGCTTCAGTGTGCGCTTGCAGCCCAGAAACCAACCGTATCCTGGGCTGCATCAAAAGGAGCGTGACCAGCAGGTCCAAGGAGGTGATCCTGTCCCTCTGCTCTGCTCTTGTGAGACCTCACCGGGAGCATTGTGTGCAGTTCTGGTGTCCTCAACATAAAAAGGACATGGAACTGTTGGAACAAGTCCAGAGGAAGCCATGAGGATGCTCAGGGGCTGGAGCACCTCCTGTATGGAGCCAGGCTGAGAACACTGGGGCTGTTCAGCCTGGAGAAGAGAAGCTGTGTGGAGACCTCAGAGCAGCTTCCAGTGTCTGAAGGGGGGCTATAGGGATGCTGGAGATGGACTCTTCATTAGGGACTGCAGTGACAGGACAAGGGGTAATGGGTTAAAACTGAAACTGGGGAAGTTTAGATTGGATATAAGGAGGAAATTCTTTCCTGTGAGGGTGTTGAGGCACTGGAATGGGTTGCCCAGGGAGGTTGTGAATGCTCCATCCCTGGCAGTGTTCAAGGCCAGGTTGGACAGAGCCTTGGGTGCCATGGTTTAGTGTGAGGTGTCCCTGCCCATGGGATAATAAATGAATTTTACTGAAGTAAATTAATGTAATTAATTGAATGTTATTAATGACATTGCCATGTGCTGACCTCGCTGCTTGGTGCTGTGCTGGGTAGCCCTTGGAGGAGCGGGGTAAGGGGCTATTGGGTGCCTCTGGCTGAATTGGGGTGTGCGGGCGGCTCTCACCGGTCCTGATTCCTTTTGAATTATTATTAATCAATTAATTCTTATTAATTATTTAGTTCTTATTTATGACGTAATCCTTATTTTTAATGTCCTTTAACGATGAAATCGGTGTCTCAGTGACAGCGGGACAGGCTTCCCCCCCGTGTCCCCCCCATACCCCTTGCAGTGCACCCTCCCGCCCGCCAGGGGGCGCAGCGGCGCCGGCTGCTGCTGAAGCCCCTCCCCTCCACCCCACCCATTGCGAGCAGGGCGGTACCATGGAGGCGGCGGGACAGAGCGGCGCCGCGATGGCGGCCGCGGCGGCGGAGGAGGAGGAGTACGAGGCAGTGCTGTGTGTGAAGCCGGCCGTGCACGTCTACCGCCTGCCGCCGCGGGCATCCAACCGCGGGTACAGGTGGGGCCTCCGCCGTCCCCACAGCCCTGCCCGGTGCTTCGGTCCCCACAGAGGGTCCCATAGCGCCCTCCTGGCGTGGGGGACCGCGGGGTGATCGGGAGCTGCCCCCCAGCCCTGCCCTGTCCCCCTCATCCGCCATCCCTGCCGCTGAGAGCAGTGGGGCAAGCAGGGCCCTGCACCCCCAAGAAGCTGCTTCCTTGCTGCGGAAGGGGAAGCGAAACCTCTTGCTGGGTCCCTGCCGTCTGTTCCCCAGCCCTTGTGGGGTGAAACGAGAAGTGTCCGGAGGAGCTTCCTCCTGCCGGGGGTGCAGGGGGTCTCTCGGTGCTGTTCGGGGCAGGTGGGCGCCATGGCGGTGTTACCGAGGCTCTGGATGTGCTGTTTCTGCATCCCGCAGGGCTGCGGAGTGGCAGCTGGAGCAGCCGGCGTGGAGCGGCAGGATGCGGGTGACAGCCAGGGGCAGCGTGGCCTTCATCAAGCTGGAGGATAAGAACACGGGTAAGGAGGGGAGAAGGGGACGGATCCATGAGGTCCCTTCTCAGGGCAGCCGCTGCAGGGGGGATGTGTCCAGAGGAGGCCATGGAGATGCTGCGAGGGCTGGAGCAGCTCTGCTCTGGAGCCAGGCTGAGAGAGCTGGGCTGGGGCAGCCTGGAGAAGAGAAGGCTCCTGAAGGGGAGACCTGAGAGCAGCTCCAGTGCCTAAAGGGGCTGCAGGGAAGCTGGAGAGGGGCTTGGGACAAGGGCCTGTAGGGACAGGCCAAGGGGAATGGCTTGAACCTGCCCGAGGGGAGACTGAGCTGAGCTCTTAGGCAGAAGCTCTTCCCTGTGAGGGTGCTGAGGCGCTGGCACAGGGTGCCCAGAGAAGCTGTGGCTGCCCCATCCCTGGCAGTGCTCAAGGCCAGGTTGGACACAGGGGCTTGGAGCAAGCTGCTCCAGTGGAAGGGGTCCCTGCCTGTGGCAGGGGTTGGGGCTGGAGGAGATTTCAGGTCCCTTCCCACTGAAACCATTCCATGGTTCTGTGATTTTTCCAGGAGAGCTTTTTGCCCAGGCACCAGTGGAACAGTTCCCCGGCATCGCTGTGGAGAGTGTGACAGACTCCAGCAGATACTTTGTCATCCGGGTCGAGGATGGGAACGGTATGTCCTGATCCATGGGGCATGTCCTGGGGAGTCACTTCAGAGAGTCCTCATTGCCCTCACCGCTCTGATCTGTGAAGGATTCTTGCTTTCAAGTGCCAAATATTCCCAGTATCCAGTGGCAGAGGGATGCGTTCTCTCACTCCTATGGCTCAGACACGCTCTGGCCTCTACCAGGAACTAACACCAACTTGATCTTGTTGCTTGGGGTTAACATGAGGACGCAGGATCACCATCCTGATGCCTCCGTCTGCTTTCACTCGCTTATGGGAATGTAAAAGCTGGTTTTACTCACTCTGCCTCAGCACCCTCACAGGGAAGAGCTTCTGCCTAAGAGCTCAGCTCAGTCTCCCCTCGGGCAGGTTCAAGCCATTCCCCTTGGCCTGTCCCTACAGGCCCTTGTCCCAGGCCCCTCTCCAGCTTTCCTACAGCCCCTTTAGGCACTGGAGCTGCTCTAAGGTCTCCCCTTCAGGAGCCTTCTCTTCTCCTGTCCATGCAGCCAGCAAACAGAAGATATCCTCAGTCCCTTATCTCCACCTCCCTGCGCCCAGCTCCTGCTGGAGGAGGCGTCAGGCACGATGGATGTCCCATCCTTCTTCCTCTGCTGCTTTGCAATTCCAACCCTTCCCGTTCCTCCCTCCCAGGCCGCCGTGCTTTCCTCGGAGTTGGCTTTGTCGACCGAGGGGATGCTTTTGACTTCAACGTTGCTCTCCAGGACCACTTTAAGTGAGTTTGTGCCTCTCCCTGTGTCTTCTCAGCTCCATTTCTGTGGCAGATGCTCACTAGAAGTGGTGGAGAGGAAGCGGGAGGCACACTTGAGTGGTGGTGAGAGGTGAAAACCCCTGTTCCCCTGTGCAGGCAGCTCTCCTTCTCTCAGATATTACCCACCCTGCATTAGCAGGGTCCCAGACTGGGCTTCCCTGTCCAAAACTGAGCAAATTCCTTAACTCCTTTCCTTTTCTCGTGCCACCGGTAAGGGGCTGCTCCTGCAGCACTGGGATGCTGCTGCATTGCTCCAGCAGGGAAGGTGGCAGCTCCCATCCAGCACCTCTGAATCACTGCTGCCAGGCAGAGGGGGATGATTTGGGGCTGGATGGATCCGGGAGAGCCTCAGGCTGGTTCCTGACGTCCCCTGTCCTGCTTCTCTTGTTGCTGCAGGTGGGTGAAGCAGCAGAGCGAGCTGGCCAGGCAGGCCGAGAACCCCGAGCAGGGCCCCAAGCTGGATCTGGGCTTCAAGGAGGGGCAGACCATCAAACTGAACATAGCGGTGAGGAGCAATTCCAGCTCAATCCCACCTTTCCTTGGGTGGGATGAGAGGAAGCAGCAGCTTGACCCCAAAATCCCTGCGCAGAGCCCTTCATGGTAACGCTGCAGGCAGGGGTCCGGTTGTGTTATGGGTGGTGGGGCTGTGGGTTCATGGTGGGGATTTGAGGATAAACCCACCCTTGGTCTGACCCCTTTTGCAGTGGGGTATTGCTGCAGAGCGGGGTTTTCCCCCCCAGGGTAAAGGGGTTTGGCTTTGGGAAGCTGTGCCTGGGAGGAATCGCACTCTGGCTCCGGGTTTAAACCCACATTTGCCTCTTTGCTTTCAGAACGTGAAGAAAAAGGAAGGAGCAGCCGGGGCCACCAGAGCCCGGCCTGTGGCTCCTGGGGGCCTGAGCTTGCTCCCACCGCCTCCGGGAGGAAAACCTCCTTCTGGAGAGCGCCCATCTTCACTCTCCAATCCCACCCAGCTGCCAGGCACCCCCATCACAGGTCCGTGCCCACGCAGCGGTGGCTGCAGAGCTCTTCAGGCTCTGTTTTATCCCCATCACAGTGGGGGAAACAGCTGGGAATTTGGGAATAACAGTGGGAAATAACCCCTGGGGTTTGTTTTCTCTTTTCCTGACTTCCCCGGTGCCCACAGACTCCCTCTTGTCCTGGCCACAGCCGACTGCTGCTCCCTCTGCCTCCAGCAGTGATGTGTGGGGAGACTTCGCCAAAGCTTCAGGGTGAGGCCCTGTGGGGTTTGATTCCTGCTCATTTCCCTGGATGTGGGGTTTGATTCCTGCTCATTTCCCTGGATGTGGGGTTTGACTCCTGCTCATTTCCCTGGATGTGGGGTTTGATTCCTGCTCATTTCCCTGGATGTGGGGTTTGATTCCTGCTCATTTCCCTGGATGTGGGGTTTGATTCCTGCTCATTTCCCTGGATAAGCCCCTATAGGGTTTGATTCCTGCTCATTTCCCTGCATGTGCAGTTTGATTCCTGCTCATTTCCCCGGATAAGCCCCTATGGGGTTTGATTCCTGCTGATTTCCCTGGATGTGGGGTTTGTTTCCTGCTCATTTCCCTGGATAAGCCCCTATAGGGTTTGATTCCTGCTCATTTCCCTGCATGTGCAGTTTGATTCCTGCTCATTTCCCTGGATGTGGGGTTTGATTCCTGCTCATTTCCCTGCATGTGCAGTTTGATTCCTGCTCATTTCCCTGGATAAACCCCTATGGGGTTTGATTCCTGCTCATTTCCCTGGATGTGGGGTTTGATTCCTGCTCATTTCCCTGGATGTGGGGTTTGATTCCTGCTCATTTCCCTGGATAAACCCATTGCAGTGGGGGGGAATGGCTGCACCCAAGCCCCCCTTTGGGATTTCAAAGCAGCTCTGACTGTTGCACATTGCCTCAGTGCAGCGCAGGGCTGGGGGTGCTGCCCTCCTCTTCCTCCCCATCTTCCTCTGGGAAGTTTGGGGTGGTCCTGCAGGACCCTCCCTGTGTCCCATGGGCCCTTTTGGCATCTAAAACCTCCTTTTCCCCCTTTTCCTTCAGGTCAGCTTCTTCCCAGACAAACACAGGGTGGGTTCAGTTCTGACCCCATCCTCTCAGCTGCTCTTCCCTGCACGGGTGCTGGGATCATTGGGATTCCTTCAGGACCAAAGCAGCAGCTTCAGGACACCCCGCTCCTGCCCTTACATCCTGCCTGGCATCCAGGAAGCAAACACACACGTGCCTTCAAACACCCCACACCGGTGCTCTCTGCCTTGGGTGGCTTTCCAGCCTGGACCGCAGGAAACCTCCCGAGGCTTCTCCATTGGGAAGAACAAGCCATCAGCTTCATCACCTCCCCTTGATAACGAAATGGGGATTGAGTGCTCCCAGCACTGGTTTTTACTGTGCTGGAGCTGCTCCATGTGTATTTGGGCTGGAAAAGCCCTTCCCTTGGTGGGAGCATCCCCCTGGATTCATCTCACCTGCCTGATCCTGATGGATGCAACGCTGAGCGTCGCCCTGATCTCTTCTTGAGTGCTTACCTCCACGGTGCAGGAGGTGGGGAGCTGGACCTCTGCCTTTCCATGCTGAGATTCCTCATTCCTTGCTTGGGGAAGTGTGGTTTTTCCCCCTCTCTTTTGGGAAGACACGGTTTTACCTCGCCAGTTTATGAAGGACAGGACATTGTTGGTCTCTTTGACAGAGCTGGGCTTGAGATTCCTCTTTACACAAATAAATATTTTCTTACCTATTTCTATGAAGCTTTTTTGGTGTCCAAAATCCCGCTCCTGTTTGATTATTCCCAGTGTTTTGGGTTTTTATGGCTTCCATTCCCAACTGGATGATGGTTTCACACCCAGGTGAGGGATTAATGCTTCCACGTGCTTCCAAATGCTCTTGATGCCCAAGGGAATGTTGCTCCCCCCTCGGAGGGGCTGGGATGTGGTTTTGTGGTTCCCCCTCCTTGCTGGTGTCGAGGAGACCGTCTTGGACAGCAAAGCACAACACACGCTCGTTGCTTAGCAGTGGCTTTATGGTTGGGAAAGACTCCAGGAGAGGAAGGTAAGGAAAGAAATGAGGGGAAAAAGAAGGGTTTTGGCATCCCCATCACCTGGGGGAGCCTCGAGGCAGGGACCTAAATGCCTTAAATCCCATCCATTTCCCCCATTGCCTTCCCTGTGCATCTCCCATTCTCTCAATGCTTCCCCAAGCCTCTGGGGCAGGGATGGGCTGTGGGGTCAGAGCTGGGATTCAGCTCAGGAGCAGGGATACCCCAGCCCCCAGTGTGGGGGATTTGGAGCTCAGTTGGGGATTTACCCACCGTTTTCCCTGTCGGATGGGGGCACAAAGGCTGCAATTACCCCAGGAGGGGTAAATCTCCTGCGCTGGGGTGGCTGCAGAGGCTCCTATGGGGACTCACACACATCCTAAGGGGACTTTTACTGCATCTTGGCCTCGTAGCAACCCCGCACGCTCCTCCCCGGAGCTTTTCCTGCCCGAGCAAACCCCGGGGCTTTAATGAGCTTAATGAGAGCCAGGGCTTAAGGAAAGGGCTCTCTCCAAGGAGCTCCTTTCCCTATGGGAGCCAGCACCATCCTGCCTGGGGGGGGACAGCACCGCAGCGTAAGCCCCGTTTCCACTCATTCTGGGCGTGGGGATCGGTGGGGTTCGGTGTTTTACATCAGTTTGATCGCTCTCCTCTCTAAGAGCCTCCTTGGGGGGGGGTTTAGGGACAGATCCCTATGGATGGGGGGACTGGTGGTGGTGGGTGTTACAGTGATCCATTGGGAGGCATTGGGACCCCTGAGGCAGCCAGGAAGAGGAGGGTCCCCGCTCCCTCCGTCACACGGGGAAGAGGAAGGCAAAAGGCCGGGATTTCGGGCTAATCCTGACCACGCATCCGCTTTTCCTCTCGCAGGCACGGAGCCCCCAAAGGCTCCCAGCAAAGGGGCTTTGGAGCAAGGAGCCTGCAGCAAAGGGGTGCCAAGGGCTCGGCAGCCACCCATAGGGAGCCCATGAGCGATCCGGAGGCTGCGGTTGAGGTGGGGTCCCCACATTGTCCCTTCCTGGTCCCCCCCATAGCAGGAACCGGCGGCTGCTCTCGCGGGAGCGGCAGCACAGGGGGTGGATCAGGGTGGCTGGCTGCAGAAGGCAGCGGTGCAATGGGGTTTTGCCACTGCAAATGGGGTTTGGGAGGGGAAATGGCAGCTCTGAGCCGGGTCCGTCGCTGCGGCGGCAGTCGGGGTGGGTTTGGGATGGCAGTGGGGGGATGCAGCGCCCCGGAGATCACAGACACGGGTTCAGTGCGTCTGAGTGCAGCTGCAAAGCTGAAGGGGGTTTGGGATGACAAACCTGGGTTTGCAGTCTGTTGGTGATCAGAACGGCACCTTCGCAGCGGATTTGTGGCTGCAGCTCTAAGTTTGCAGCAGGTTTGTGCTCACAAATGCAACTTTGAGGCAGTTTTGTGCTCACAAATGCAACTTTGCAGTGGTTTTGTGCTCACAAATGGAGCTTTGCAGCAGGTTTGTGCTCACAAATGCAACTTTGCAGCGGTTTTGTGCTCACAAATGCAACTTTGCAGCAGTTTTGTGCTCACAAATGGAGCTTTGCAGCGGTTTTGTGCTCACAAATGCAGCTTTGCACCAGGTTTGTGCTCACAAATGGAGCTTTGCAGCGGTTTTGTGCTCACAAATGCAGTTTTGCAGCAGGTTTGTGCTCACAAATGCAACTTCACAGCAGTTTTGTGCTCACAAATGCAACTTTGGGTTTGTGTTGGGTTTTGTCAGGTTATGCTCACAAATGCAACTTTGCAGCAGTTTTGTGCTCACAAATGCAACTTTGCAGCGGTTTTGTGCTCACAAATGCAACTTTGCAGCGGTTTTGTGCTCACAAATGCAACTTTGCAGCAGTTTTGTGCTCACAAATGGAGCTTTGCAGCGGTTTTGTGCTCACAAATGCAACTTTGCAGCAGGTTTGTGCTCACAAATGGAGCTTTGCAGCGGTTTTGTGCTCACAAATGCAGTTTTGCAGCAGGTTTGTGCTCACAAATGCAACTTCACAGCAGTTTTGTGCTCACAAATGCAACTTTGCAGCAGGCTTGTGTCTGCAGCTGCAAGTCTGCAGCAGTTTCATGCTTTCAGTTGCAAACCTGCAGTGGTTTTGTGGTCGCACACACAAACCTGCACCCCTCTTGTGATTGCAGCTGCAGATCCACGGTGGGTTTATGGGCACAACAAGCTTCCAGTGGCCTCACAACTGCCTCCCATTGCATGCTGGGGCGCAGCGTTTGCAGCTGGATGGGGGGAAAAGGCTTTTTATGGGGCAGGCTCAGCTCAGCCCCTTCCCCACTGATGGCTCCATCGCGGAGCTGGATCCCAGTCCCACTGCTCCCGGAGCTGCCCTGAGCCCGGTCCCGGTCCCGCAGCGGGGGCCATGTCCTCGCTGCTGTCCCTCCAGGAGGAGAACCGCATCCTGCAGCAGGAGCTGTCCCGTGTCGAGGACCTGCTGGCGCAGAGCCGAGCCGAGCGCGATGAGCTGGCCATCAAGTACAACGCCATCAGCGAGCGGGTGAGTCCCGATAGCCCCAAACTCACAGCCAGCCAAGCTGGAAGCTTTGCATTCCCCATGCTGGGAGGTGGAGGTGCTGTGGCATCAATGGGAATTTCAGAGCTGGCTTGTCCGGGCTTGCCAGGGCTTGTCCTGTGGGATGCACAAAGCAGCCTCATCCCTGTTTTGTTTTCGGGAAGCAGGACCCCCTGCCATGGGCATCCTTCACATCCCTTCACCATGGCAACGGAGGGATTCAAAAGGGCTTTAGGCAGTGGTTGGATGCTGAATGTGGCTCCCGGGGAGACCCGAATTGAGGCGCTGCCAGGATTTTGGGGGGCAGCCCCTCTGTTTGTGCCTGGTTATCCATAAAATACCCCAGATCCTAGGATAACACCCCAAAGTGGATGCACCCAGGCTTCCTTTATCCCGGTGCAAACCAGGGTGTGGCTTTGCTGAAGCCCCTGCTTCAAAGTTGGGGTGTTTTTGAAAGCACCCCCAAAATTTCCTGTTCCTCCCCTCCCTGTATGTGCGAAAGGGGAGGATGCAGAATCTGGGGGGTCTTAGTTTGTATGGGATGCCCCAAAGCGATGGCTCGGTGTGGATGCGAGTGAAACTGGAGGATGCTCAGCGGGGGTTTAACATCCCCATGCACTCTGCTGCCATCAATCCTATCCCGCTTCCCAGCTGGAGCAAACGCTGCGGCTGGAGACGGGCGAGCGGGATGCATCGGAGAGCCGGAGCCTGGCGCAGCACAACATCGAGCTGCGGCGCCTGCTGGAGGAGGAGCAAGCTGCCTACAAGCGCAAGCTGCAGGCGTACCAGGAGGGCCAGCAGCGCCAGGCCCAGCTGGTGCAGAAGCTCCAAGCCAAGGCAAACCCTTCCCAGGGGACACGGGGATGCGCTGGGGACCCCGAATCGGTGCCACCCTCCCCGTTGCCTCCATCCAGGTGCTGCAGTATAAGAAGAAATGCGGTGAAGTGGAGCAGCAGCTGCTGGAGAAGGCGACAGAGCTGGAGCAGGAGAGGCTGACGGTGAGGGGTGGGTTTAGGGGTCCCCTGCCTTGAATCCCCCCCACTTTGGGGGATGCTGATGAGAAGCTGTCCCTGCAGAGCCAGCTGGATGTGAGCAGCGTGCAGCCAGAGGAGGAGGGCAGCAATGAGCTGGAGAACGCCCTGATCCGGCTGGAAGAGGAGCAGCAGAGGTGAAGGGGGGTGGGGGGGGTCCCTGAGGAGCTGTGGGACCCCGTTGGGGTGATGCTTTGAGTGACCCCCCCATTGCCCACCCCGCAGGAGCAGCAGCCTGGTGCAGGTGAACTCGATGCTGCGGGAGCAGCTGGAACAAGCCAACGTGGCCAACGCGGCGCTGAGCGAGGACATCCGCAAGCTGACGGCCGACTGGGCACGGGCACGGGATGAGCTGGAGCAGCGAGAGGCGGAGTGGAGGCGCGAGGAGGAGGTTTGGGGGGGGACAGGGATCGCACATGGAGCACGGAGAGGGATGCGGGGATGTGGGTGGAAAAGGATGTGGGGATGGGAGGAGGATGCAGGGAGGATGGGAAGGATGTGAGGTCATGGAGGTTGTTGCATGGAGAATAGTTTGGGGGTGCAGGAGATGTGGCATGTGATGGGAAGGGGATGCAAGGCACAAGAATGGAGGGATGTGGCAGTGAAAGGGATGTGTCATGGAAGGGGACGTGGGACCACCAGGAGGGATGCAGGACCATGGGGGATGTTGCATGGAGAAGAATTTGAGGGTGCAGGAGATGGGGCGTGTGATGGGAAGGGGATGCAAGGCACAAAGATGGAGGGATGTGGCATGGAAAGGGATGTAGGATTACCAGGAGGAATGTAGGACCACGGGGGATGTTGCATGGAGAAGAGTTTGGGGATGCAGGCGATGTGGCATGTGATGGGAGGGGATGAGTCCCCCAACCCTTGCTTTGCAGGGTGGGAGGGAATTGGGGTTGGGGTTATAGAGCACCATGGGGATGATGGTTGTGGCCACGGGGGGTGTTGCAGGAATATTTGGGGACCAAAAGGAAGAGGGATGTGGGGCCAGGGGAGGTGGGGATGCTCCATGGGGAGGGACCCCACCACTGCGGTCAGCACCAACACATTGCACCCCATAACAGACCTTCAACACCTACTTCAGCAACGAGCACAGCCGGCTCCTGACCCTCTGGAGGCAGGTGGTGGCCTTCAGGAGGCACTTTGGGGAGATGAAGGCCACCACGGAGCGGTCAGTGCGGCGCTCGGGGAGGGCTTGCGTTGATCCCTATGGATGCGCAGGGATCCCGGGTCCCATCCTGCGCCTCCTCGCGCAGGGACCTGGCGGAGCTGAGCCACGAGGCCTCTCGGGCGGGCAGGGCTGCCCACGCCGCCTGCCTGCACCTCGCTGCCAACCTGCGCCTGGCCGAGAGCCAGGCGGGAGCGGCGCGGGAGCAGCAGGAGCTGCGCCTGGGGCAGCTGCAGGAGCAGTTGGCGGCACGGGCGCGGGATGCGGAGCTGGAGAGAGCGGGGCTCGGAGCCCGGTACGAGGGGTCTGGGGGCACGGGGTGGGTGCGTGGGTGCTGCCTCCTGTCCTGGTGCTGCCCTGTGGCCCGGTGCTGCCCCATGTCCCGGTGCTCCCCCATGTCCCTTTGTTCCCTCATGTCCCAGTGCTGCCCCCTGTCCCAGTGCTGCCCCCTGTCCTGATGCTGCCCCATGACCCGGTGCTGCCCCATGACCCAGTGCTGCCCCATGTCCCGATGCTGCCCCATGTCCCGATGCTGCCCCATGTCCTGATGCTGCCCCATGTCCTGATGCTGCCCTGTGTCCTGGTGCTGCCCCATGACCCTGTGCTGCCCCATTTCCCAGTGCTACCCCATGTCCTGATGCTGCCCCATGTCCCTATGCTGCCCCATGTCCCAGTGTTCCCCCATGTCCCGGTGTTCCCCCATGTCCCGGTGTTCCCCCATGTCCTGATGCTGCCCCATGTCCCGATGCTGCCCCATGTCCCGATGCTGCCCCATGTCCCGGTGTTCCCCCATGTCCTGATGCTGCCCCATGTCCCGGTGTTCCCCCATGCCCCGGTGTTCCCCCATGCCCCGGTGTTCCCCCATGCCCCGGTGTTCCCCCATGCCCCGGTGTTCCCCCATGTCCCGGTGCAGGCTGTCGGAGCAGGCGCTGGCCCTGGAGAGGCTGCGGGAAGAGAATGCGGAGAAGGAGCGGGAGGTGGAAGCGCTGAAGCTGCAGCTGCAGAGCCTGGTGAGTGCTGGGGTGAGTGTGGGGAATGGGGGTGCAGGGGTGCAATGGGGCTGGGGATCCTGTGATTCCATGCTGGAGCACGGTGCATGCTGCACACCTTGGTGTGATGTGTGCTAGAGCACAGCACAGTGCATGCTGAGCCATGATGCACGCTGGGGATGATGCAGGATGCAGCCAGAGCATGGTGCATGCCAGAGTGCAGTGCACACGGGGGTGGACCACATGCTGCATGTCTGGGTGTGATGCATACCAGGGTGATGACTGGTGCATGCATGTGATGGATCCACCCACTCATCCATCCATCCATCCATCCATCCATCCATCCATCCATCCATCCATCCATCCACCCACTCATCCATCCATCCATCCATCCATCCACCCACTCATCCATCCATCCATCCATCCATCCATCCATCCATCCACCCACCCACTCATCCATCCATCCCTCCATCCATCCATCCATCCATCCATCCACCCACTCATCCATCCATCCATCCATCCATCCATCCATCCATCCATCCATCCCTCCATCCATCCATCCATCCATCCATCCACCCACTCATCCATCCATCCATCCATCCATCCATCCATCCATCCATCCACCCACCCACTCATCCATCCATCCATCCATCCATCCCTCCATCCATCCCTCCATCCATCCATCCATCCCTCCATCCATCCCTCCATCCATCCATCCATCCCTCCATCCACCCACTCATCCATCCATCCATCCATCCATCCATCCATCCCTCCATCCATCCATCCATCCATCCATCCATCCATCCATCCACTCATCCATCCATCCCTCCATCCATCCATCCATCCACCCATCCATCCACCCACCCATCCATCCACCCACTCATCCATCCATCCATCCATCCATCCCTCCATCCACCCACTCATCTATCCATCCCTCCATCCATCCCTCCATCCATCCATCCATCCACCCACTCATCCATCCATCCTTATCCATCCATCCATCCATCCATCCATCCATCCATCCCTCCATCCACCCACTCATCTATCCATCCATCCATCCATCCCTCCATCCATCCATCCATCCACCCACTCATCCATCCATCCTCCTCATCCATCCATCCATCCATCCATCCATTCCCTCCATCCATCCCTCCATCCATTTTTTTTTTTTTTTTTTTTCCATCCATCCCTCCATCCATCCATCCATCCATCCACCCACTCATCCCTCCATCCATCCCTCCATCCATCCCTCCACCCACCCACCCATCCACCCAGGAGGCCGCACGTGCCCAGGATCCATCTCCAGCAGAGGTGGAATCGCTGCGCTCAGAGGTGGAGCTGCTCCAACAGACCCTGCAGGACATCACCCAGGTGATGGGGACACCCCGGCCCCCCGGCCTCAGTTCCCCCCCCCCCCTTGCCTCAGTTTCCCCCCTTGTGACAGGGGGGTTTCTCCCCTCTCCCTCAGGCTGTGCTGTTGGATGACCCTGAGCAGCCCCTGCTGTCCCCCCCGTGTCCCCCCACGTCCCCTCACCGCAGCCTCTCGCCCAGTGCCACTGCTGCTGCTGTGCACGCTGCCCTGTGCCGCCGCCAGCTCCAGCTGCAGGTGAGCAGGGGGGAGATGGGGATGAGGACCTGGACAGGCTGGGGAGGTGGGACCGAGTGAACCTCACAGAGATCAGCAAGGCCAAGGGCAAGGTCCTGCCTGGGGCTGGGGCAATCCCAGCACAAACACAGGCAGGGGGAGATGGGATGGAGCAGCCTGAGGAGAAGGACTCGGGGGTGTTGGTCAATGAGAAGCTCCCCATGACCCGGCTTCAGTGAGCGCTTGAGCCCAGAACCCCCCCGTGTGCTGGGCTGCACCCCCAGAGCGTGAGCAGCAGCTCAGGGAGGGGATCCTGCCCCTCTGCTGTGCTCTGGGGAGACCCCCCCTGCAGCCCTGATCCAGCTCTGGGGCAGCAGCACAAGAGGGACCTGGAGCTGCTGGAGCGAGGCCAGAGGAGGCCATGGAGATGCTGCGAGGGCTGGAGCAGCTCTGCTCTGGAGCCAGGCTGAGAGAGCTGGGCTGGGGCAGCCTGGAGAAGAGAAGGCTCCTGAAGGGGAGACCTGAGAGCAGCTCCAGTGCCTAAAGGGGCTGCAGGAAAGCTGGAGAGGGGCTTGGGACAAGGGCCTGTAGGGACAGGCCAAGGGGAATGGCTTGAACCTGCCCGAGGGGAGACTGAGCTGAGCTCTTAGGCAGAAGCTCTTCCCTGTGAGGGTGCTGAGGCGCTGGCACAGGGTGCCCAGAGAAGCTGTGGCTGCCCCATCCCTGGCAGTGCTCAAGGCCAGGTTGGACACAGGGGCTTGGAGTGTTCCAACTCGAACCAGTCTGTGACTCTGGTTCTATGCTGCTGCTGCTGCTGATAATGATGCTTATGCTCACCCCTCTTTCTCCCCCATCCAGGACGCCCGGAGCCAGGCAGATGCCAGCCGGGAGCTGGCCGGGAGCCTGCGTCGGGAGCTGGGGGACAGTGAGAGGCGTGTGGGGACGCTGCAGCGGCAGCTGGAGCAGCTCAGTGCTGAGGCCGAGGTCCTGCGCAGGTACCTGCTGTCTGTCCACCCCTGCGTCTGACCATCCCTGTGCAGCCAGCCCCTGCGTCCTGGCCAGGGTGTCCATCGTTCATCCATCCACCCATCCCTCTCTACACATTTATATGTTTGTCTGTCCCTGTGCATGCTGCCTTGTCCGTGGATCCATCCACCCCTACACATTTTTATTGGTCCATTTGTCCCTGTGCATTCTGCCCTGTGTCCACCCACCCATTCATCCATTCCTACGTGTATGTTTCTGTCTGTCTGTCCCTGTGTATCCTTCCCTGTCTGCCCATCCATCCATCCATCCATCATCCGTCCATCCATCCATTCATCCATCCGCTGTTCCATCATCCATCCATCCCTCCCTCCCTCCCTCCCTCCACCCATCCATCCTTCCCTCCATCCTTCCCTCTGTCCATCCCTCCGTCCATCCCTTCCTCCATCCATTCATCCACCCATCCATCCATCCATCCCTCCATCCATCCTTCCTTTCATCCCTCCCTTCCTCCCTCCCTCCATCCCTCCCTCCCTCCATCCATCTATCCATCCATCCATCCCTCCATCCATCATCCCTCCATCCATCCATCATCCCTCCATCCATCCCTCCATCTATCCGTCATCCCTCCATCCATCCCTCCATCCATTCCTTCCTCCATCCATCCATCCATTCCTCCATCCATCCATCTCTCCATCCCTCCATCCATCCTTCCTTTCATCCCTCCCTTCCTCCCTCCCTCCATCCCTCCATCCCTCCGTCCATCCATCCATCCATCCCTCCATCCATCATCCCTCCATCCATCCATCATCCCTCCATCCATCCCTCCATCTATCCGTCATCCCTCCATCCCTCCCTCCATCCATCCCTCCCTCCATCCGTCATCCCTCCCTCCATCCACCCATCCGTCCCTCCATCCATCCCTCATCCTCCATCCATCCGTCCATCATCCCTCCATCCATCCATCCACCCATCCCTCCATCCCTCCCTCCCTCCCTCCGTCCCTCATCCACCCCTACACGTTTATCTCTGCACATCTCTCCATCTGTCCCCATTCCCTCCTGCCCCTTCCTCCATCCTTGCACACCGAGCATCGCCCCATCCATCCCCCCCGTGTCCATGTGTCCTGCAGGGACCGGCAGCGCGCGGAGGAGGCGCTGGCAGGGGAGCAGCAGCGCGCGGAGGCCCTGCAGCAGGAGCGGGTGCAGCTGCAGCGCCGCAGCGAGGGGCTGGAGGATGCTCGGGACGAGGCCGCCCGTGCTGCAGAGGCTGCCCGGGGGCAGCTGGAGCGCAGGTACAGGGAGATGGGGACACACACAGGGGGTGCTGCACCCCCAGCAAGTGGGTGCTGCAGAACTGCAATGGGTGCTGCAACCTCATCCTCCACCCAAAGATAGGTGCTGCCACCCCTCCAATGGGTGCTGCAATACCCCTGTGCAGATGGGTGCTGCAGTGGTGGGTGCTGCAATAGTGGGTGCTGCAACTCCTGTCCTGGGTGGGTACTGCAATAGTGGGTGCTGCAACCCCTGTCCTGGGTGGGTGCTGCAATAGTGGGTGCTGCAACTGCTGTCCTGAGTGGGTGCTGTATAATAGTGGGTGCTGCAACTCCTGTCCTGGGTGGGTACTGCAATAGTGGGTGCTGCAACCCCTGTCCTGGGTGGGTGCTGCAATAGTGGGTGCTGCAACTGCTGTCCTGAGTGGGTGCTGTATAATAGTGGGTGCTGCAACTCCTGTCCTGGGTGGGTGCTGCAATAGTGGGTGCTGCAACCTCTGTCCTGGGTGGGTGCTGTAGCTGCTGTCCTGAGTGGGTGTTGCAATAGTGGGTGCTGCAACCCCTGTCCTGGGGGGTGCTTCAGTAGTGGGTACTGCACCCCCTGTCCTGGGTGGGTGCTGCAATAGTGGGTGCTTGTACCCTCTATCCTGGGTGGGTGCTGTATAATAGTGGGTGCTGTAACCCCTGTCCCGGGTGGGTGCTGCACACCCAGTGGGTGCTGCAAGCCCAGTGGGTGCTGCACCCCTGCCTTGCTGCAGCCAGCAGCAGCTGGAGGAGCTGGATGTGCAGCGTGCAGCAGTGCAGCAGGAGCTGCTGGAGGCACGGGAGGCGCTGAGCCGGGCGGCGCTGGAGGCCGAGGTGGCGCGGGGCGAGCGGGAGGCACTGGCCGAGGCGCTGAGCAAGGTGGGTCCCTGACACCCCCTGTGCCCCCCTGCAGTGGGTGCCCCCTATGCAGTCTGCTGCTGCCATGCAGCGGGTGCATCCCCACGCAGCGGGGGCAAACCCCCCATGCATCAGGCTCATTCCTCTCATACCTTTGCTGTGCAACAGGCGCAACCCTGTACAGTGAATGTAACCCACATGCAACAGGCTTATTCCCCCAGTGAAGTGGGTACAACCCTTAAGCAACAGGTTCAGCCCGTGCAGTGGGTGCAACCCACATGCAACAGGCTCACACACACCCCCTTCTCCAGTGCAGTGGGTGCAACTCTTAAGCAACAGACTCAGCCCATGCAGTGGGTGCATCCCCCATCTGCAGTGGGTGCAAGCCCCATATGCAGTAGGTGTAACCCTCATATGCAGCAGGCATAACCTGTCAGCAACAGGCTCAGCCCATGCAGTGGGTGCAAACCCCAAACAACAGGCTCAGCCATGTAGCAGGTTCCTCCTCATGCCCCGGGTGCCTGCACACAGCCCATCAGCTCCAGTCACAGTGCTGGGCACAGGGATGCTGCAGAGCCCATCAGCTCCAGTCACAGTGCTGGGCACAGGGATGCTGCAGAGCCCATCAGCTCCAGTCACAGTGCTGGGCGCAAGGATGCCCGTCAGCTCTGGTCACAGTGCTGGGCACAGGGATGCTGCCATCAGCTCCAGTCAGTGCTGGCTGTGCACAGGGATGCTGCCATCAGCTCCAGTCAGTGCTGGCTGTGCACAGGGATGCTGCCATCAGCTCCAGTCAGTGCTGGCTGGGCACAGGGATGCTGCCATCAGCTCCAGTCAGTGCTGGCTGTGCACAGGGATGCTGCCATCAGCTCCAGTCAGTGCTGGCTGGGCACAGGGATGCTGCCATCAGCTCCAGTCAGTGCTGGCTGGGCACAGGGATGCTGCCATCAGCTCCAGTCAGTGCTGGCTGGGCACAGGGATGCTGCCATCAGCTCCAGTCACAGTGCTGGGCACAGGGATGCTGCCATCAGCTCCAGTCAGTGCTGGCTGGGCACAGGGATGCTGCCATCAGCTCCAGTCAGTGCTGGCTGGGCACAGGGATGCTGCCATCAGCTCCAGTCAGTGCTGGCTGGGCACAGGGATGCTGCCATCAGCTCCAGTCAGTGCTGGCTGGGCACAGGGATGCTGCCATCAGCTCCAGTCAGTGCTGGCTGTGCACAGGGATGCTGCCATCAGCTCCAGTCAGTGCTGGCTGTGCACAGGGATGCTGCCATCAGCTCCAGTCAGTGCTGGCTGGGCACAGGGATGCTGCCATCAGCTCCAGTCAGTGCTGGCTGTGCACAGGGATGCTGCCATCAGCTCCAGTCAGTGCTGGCTGTGCACAGGGATGCTGCCATCAGCTCCAGTCAGTGCTGGCTGGGCACAGGGATGCTGCCATCAGCTCCAGTCAGTGCTGGCTGGGCACAGGGATGCTGCCATCAGCTCCAGTCAGTGCTGGCTGGGCACAGGGATGCTGCCATCAGCTCCAGTCAGTGCCGGCTGGGCACAGGGATGCTGCCATCAGCTCCAGTCAGTGCTGGCTGGGCACAGGGATGCTGCCATCAGCCGCGGTCTCTCGGCAGGCGCAGGGGAGCTGCGGGTCGCTGTCGGCAGCGCTGCGGGAGGCGCAGGCCGAGGGCTCCCGGCTGCGGGACGCGCTGGCCAAGACGAGCGAGCTGGCGGCGGGGCTGGCGCGGGACAAGGCGGAGCTGAGCCGGGGCCTGGCGCGGCTGGAGGCGGAGCGGGACAGCGGCAGCGTGCGGGAGCTGCGGCGGGAGCTGGCGCTGCTGCGGGAGCGCCTGGAGCGCGGGCAGCGCGCAGGGGCCCTGGAGCGGCTGCGCCTGCAGCGGGAGCGCAGGGCGGCGGAGGAGCAGCGCTGCGGGGGGCTGCGGAACGAGCTGCGGGCGCTGCGGGAGCAGCACAGGAGCATGAGGCAGCACCTCGGGCAGGTGCGGGGGGCGCTGGGACGGGCATCGTGGGACTGGGAGGGTGAAGGGGGGGACTGGGATAGCACCGGGGCAACTGGGAGCGATGGGGAGGGTGCAGGGAGCAACTGGGATGGTGAATGTGGTAACTGGGAGGGATGGGGAGGGTGCTGGGGTAACTGGAATTGTTCACAGGGCAACTGGGCGGGATGGGAAGGGTGCAGGGATAACTGGGATGGTGATTGTGGTAACTGGGAGGATGGGGAGAGTGCTGGGGTAACTGGAATTGTTCACAGGGCAACTGGGAGGGATGGGAAGGGTGCAGGGATAACTGGGATGGTGATTGGGGTAACTGGGAGGGATGGGGAGGGTGCAGGGATAACTGGGATGGTGAATGTGGTAACTGGGAGGGATGGGGAGAGTGCTGGGGTAACTGGAATAATTCAAAGGGCAACTGAGAGGTATGGGGAGGATGGCAGGGATAACTGGGATGGTGAATGTGGTAACTGGGAGGGATGGGGAGGATGGCAGGGATATCTGGGATAGTGAGTGTTGTAACTGGGAGGGATGGGGAGGGTGGGTGTTGGTTGTTGGGTGGGGGTGGGGGGGTGCAGGGATAACTGGGATGGTGAATGTTGTAACTGGGAGGCATGGGGAGAGTGCAGGGGTAACTGGAATTGTTCAAAGGGCAACTGGGAGGTATGGGGAGGATGGCAGGGATAACTGGGATGGTGAATGTTGTAACTGGGAGGCATGGGGAGAGTGCAGGGGTAACTGGAATTGTTCACAAGGGAACTGGGAGGGATGTGCAGGGTGCAGGGAGCAACTGGGATGGTGAATGTGGTAACTGGGAGGATGCAATGGGAGAACTGGAATGGTGCCAAGGGGTAAATGGGAAGAGTGGTGACTGTGCCGGGGGCTTTTGGGAGGAATAGAGAGTGTGTACGGGCACCTGGGATGGTTCATGGGACAAATGGGAGGGATGAGAAGAGTGCAAGAGGCAACTGGGAGAGATAGGGAAGGTGGCTGGGGCAAGCAGGACGGTGGGCAAGGCAACTGGGAGGGATGGAAACAGCGCATGGGGCAACTGGGAGGGAAGGGAAGGGTGCGTGGGGGGAGCGGGGGGATGAGGGGGGCACCGGAGGAGCGGGCGCACGGGGTAGCGGTGCCGTGGCCGTGCCGCAGGCGGTGCAGGAGCAGAGCGCGGCGGGGGAGGCGCTGGCGCAGGCACGGGCAGAGCAGGAGCGGCTGCGGGGGGATCTGCAGCGGCTGAGCCGGGCCCGAGAGGGGTTGGCCAAGGAGGGCGCCAGCCTGGCCGTGCAGCTCGCTGCGGCCCAGCGCCACGGGCAGGACCGGGCCCGGGAGGCGGCCGGGCTCAGGTGGGTGCTGGGCAGGGGTGAGCGGTCCTGAGAGCCCTGGAGCTGGGCGCTGGGCACTGGGACTGGTGCTGTTGTGGCTGTGGGCACTGGGACTGGTGCTGTTGTGGCTGTGGGCACTGACTGGTGCTGTTGTGGCTGTGGGCACTGGGACTGGTGCTGTTGTGGCTGTGGGCACTGGGACTGGTGCTGTTGTGGCTGTGGGCACTGACTGGTGCTGTTGTGGCTGTGGGCACTGGGGCTGGTGCTGTTGTGGCTGTGGGCACTGGGACTGGTGCTGTTGTGGCTGTGGGCACTGGGACTGGTGCTGTTGTGGCTGTGGGCACTGGGACTGGTGCTGTTGTGGCTGTGGGCACTGGGACTGGTGCTGTTGTGGCTGTGGGCACTGACTGGTGCTGTTGTGGCTGTGGGCACTGGGACTGGTGCTGTTGTGGCTGTGGGCACTGGGACTGGTGCTGTTGTGGCTGTGGGCACTGGGACTGGTGCTGTTGTGGCTGTGGGCACTGACTGGTGCTGTTGTGGCTGTGGGCACTGGGACTGGTGCTGTTGTGGCTGTGGGCACTGGGACTGGTGCTGTTGTGGCTGTGGGCACTGGGACTGGTGCTGTTGTGGCTGTGGGCACTGGGACTGGTGCTGTTGTGGCTGTGGGCACTGGGACTGGTCTGTTGTGGCTGTGGGCACTGGCTGGTGCTGTTGTGGCTGTGGGCACTGGGACTGGTGCTGTTGTGGCTGTGGGCACTGGGGCTGGTGCTGTTGTGGCTGTGGGCACTGGGACTGGTGCTGTTGTGGCTGTGGGCACTGGGACTGGTGCTGTTGTGGCTGTGGGCACTGGGACTGGTGCTGTTGTGGCTGTGGGCACTGGGACTGGTGCTGTTGTGGCTGTGGGCACTGGGACTGGTGCTGTTGTGGCTGTGGGCACTGTGACTGGTGCTGTTGTGGCTGTGGGCACTGGGACTGGTGCTGTTGTGGCTGTGGGCAGTGTGACTGGTGCTGTTGTGGCTGTGGGCACTGGGACTGGTGCTGTTGTGGCTGTGGGCACTGGGGCTGGTGCTGTTGTGGCTGTGGGCACTGACTGGTGCTGTTGTGGCTGTGGGCACTGGGACTGGTGCTGTTGTGGCTGTGGGCAGTGTGACTGGTGCTGTTGTGGCTGTGGGCACTGGGACTGGTGCTGTTGTGGCTGTGGGCAGTGTGACTGGTGCTGTTGTGGCTGTGGGCAGTGTGACTGGTGCTGTTGTGGCTGTGGGCACTGGGACTGGTGCTGTTGTGGCTGTGGGCACTGGGACTGGTGCTGTTGTGGCTGTGGGCAGTGTGACTGGTGCTGTTGTGGCTGTGGGCACTGGGACTGGTGCTGTTGTGGCTGTGGGCAGTGTGACTGGTGCTGTTGTGGCTGTGGGCACTGGGACTG